CCCCCCCCCCCCCCCACCCCCCCCCCCAGCCACAGTTGCTGGAAAAATGTCAGGAAATCTGTTGTCTAGACCACAGTCACTAAACCCTGATGCTCAACACTGCCCTGCAGTTTTCTTGGCAAGATTTCAGAAGGGGTTTGCCATTGCCTCCTTTCTAGGGCTGAGAAAGAGCAACTGGCCCAGGGTCACCCAACTGGCTTCACGCCTAAGGTAGGACTAGAACTCAGTCTTCTGGTTTCTAGCCTGATGCCTTAACCACAACATCTAACTGGCTCTTATTATTAACCTTAAACCCTTATAAAGCTTTATTTCATCCCCTGCCATTTGTTTGAGAATTATTTATTGACAAAGAAACCCTTCTCCATGACACTTACACCTCATTGTTGAACAGGATCAATTGTACACCATGATCTGGACTGGCAAGGTAGCAACTCAAGCAAGAAGCAACAGAAATTCTCTCCAGAGATTAGAGATGCTGCTGCCTCTCTGCATTAGGAATACCTGAACGCCTTTCCACACTCCTGTGAAGGGGATTTTCTTAACTTCCCCTTCACTGCAGCATGAACATACTGTATTCTGCCATGCCCTCATATTACCTTTGTTTCATCCCCATCACATAGTTGAAGCAGTTTAAGTCATCCTGAAGTGTTCCAGTTTTAAATGTTTTCCTTTTCTCTCAATACCATTTTTTGCCATTGATGCAATCTGGCATGCCTCACCAATGATGTGATTGCCAACATGGCCAGCGGTTGGGATTTGCCCAGCTTTGATGGGCCACTTTAGGCTGCCAGGGCTATGCTCCCTCCCCTCCAGTAACTGATTCTGGGAACTCCTCCTGGGACTTGCTCTTCATGGCCATTTTGGCTTGGGCTGCAAGAGAGACTGGACACAAGTGGGAACAGGGGCTGAATGTTCTTACTCAGAGCCAACATGGCAGACTTGACTGACATTCAGGCAAGACTAACAGAGGCAGATCCAGAATAGTACATCAATCAGAGATGCAATGAACCAGAAGCAAGAGACAAATAGGGGATACTTTGAGTAACATTTGCTGAGTTTATTTTCTGTAGTACACTAATGTGCAGAGTTTTGTAAGCAGTATTCTGAGGCCATATTCTGCTCTCTGCTAAATAAAGGAAGAATATACTGATACCTCCTTAAATTATAAGAATTCCTACAACCTATCTTTAAATAATAAGGAATTTGAAAAGATATGATATTGCAGGGAGGAACAAGAGCTTAACCTTTCTCCTCTGGCCATTTTCAACCCTAAATAGTTCCTTACAAATTGGTTTCTTCCCCCATACCCTCACATATTACAGAGAGATCCAGATCCAGAGATCTCTGTATAAGTGTTGTAGTCTTTCTGTTTATGCATGTCTCCCTTCCCTTAACCTACTGTTTTTTCCAAAAGTATCTATTAGCCATCAGAAGGCACTATGGAATTCATTAGAAACAGTTCCTTGGTGCCCTGTGTTTCACATTCTTCTCTCCCCTATATCCTAATGCTAACCCTAATGTGGCTGTCTGTCAGGGATGAGTCCTTTTTAAGGTCAGCTTTCCTCAACTTGAAACTGAAATGTTGAATTATGATACCTGTAATTCCCCATAATTATGGAAAGTCATCATCCAACACATTTATATGGCACTCAAATAGGTTACTTACTTGATGGCATAATTGCATACTAAGTAGACTGCTTGCCTCCATGTGTTGCCCCACACATTTATGTTGGTACAAGTGTGGACAGCACAGCCAATTCTGTTGCTAGAAGCCCACACCATCTATTAGAAAGACATTAGTGTAGCTATTATAAGAGAGAGGCAGATCTGAAAACAGAAGACACATATTTTGGAGTTCACCAAAAACAATGGGATGTTTGTCTTTTACATAATGATAATAAACATACTTATCAATGGTTATTAACCATAAATGGAACTTTTACATTCTATGGATGATACCATACATCTCCATCAGTTACTTTGGGAGGGGGAAGCAGTAAGGAAATATATTTCCTATATATCCATGCCTCACTTAGTGATTTTCAAGAAGCATTTGGCTGTCTGCTAAGGGCATAGGAATCAGGACTATACAGATTCTATATTACAGAACTTTGATCTGTCTCAGCTGGACTTTTCTTATGTTCCTTTTATGATATCTGCTAAAGGTCATAGTCTAGGTCAGCCTTCCCCTGGTGGATGTTCTCCAGATGTGTTGCACAGCAATTTCCATAATTTACAGCCAATGGCCATGCTGATTGTGGATGATGGGAGTAAAAAAAGACTGACATAGGACATCTCTTTAAACAAGCTTTGATGGACCTAATAATTAAAAGCTTCAGTAAAGAAAGCACTGATAACCAGGGGAAAAAGTATACTTGCTTCCCATGCTTAAAATTATGAAAATGTGAGATTACCATCTGGTGGATTTTTAGCAGCATCTCAAACACATCATTCTATTCTTGGGCAAGCAGAGATAAAAAGAAAGGAACTGTTCAAAACATGTACGAGCCAAGTGTTGCTGGTACTTGGCAGTACTGCAAAATAGTAACATACAGGCTCCTGACTCCAGGTGGAATTGTATCTCCATAGGTCAGGACTATAGTGTCAGAATCTAGTAGAGACTGTCAACTTTTTTTCCTAATAGGCTCATGCACCTCTGCTAATTCCATAATACAAAAACATTTAACAGATCTTCCTTTCCCCTCACAGTATTTCTCCTTACTAGGAAAAATTCTATATTTGTGCACTTGTTCAAGGGACTAAACCCTAGAAAACTTCCATACACGAACTCTGTGTCACCTCAAAAGAATCTCTGGACCTCTGAGATCCTACGGGCTGAGTTTGGTAGCCAAGCTAATTTATTACCAGCTTAGCTGCAGTGTTTATCAAAGGGCAAAAAAGCAACTTTTCATTTTGTTGTGATGAAACTCTGCAGGACTTGTGGCCAGCCTGCTTATCCATTGGAGGGAATGCCTGCCTTGCTGTCTTCCCAGCTCTTGAGTCCCCTGCAGTTGGTCTTTTAAGGGGAATGCTGCTTTATCATAATAAAATTAACAGGAGTACAGTTTTTCCCTTCTCTTTGGTAGGAGATTAAGGGGCATGTAAAGCATCAGGTTTCTTGAATTTTTAATTTCTTTTCTTTTCACGGTATTTTGTTTGAATATTCCAGTGAAGTAGAAACAGTGGCAGGTGAATATATCCATACAAAGAATTTCTTCCTGTGGCCTAGAAAGCATACATTTTTAAAAACAATTTAGCACACTCTCTTCTGTTCCCACTTTAGCCTCTGCTGCAGCCAATAACCATGGTTAGTGCTGGGAAAAGTTTCTGCCAGCACTAATGACACAGTAGCATGCCACATTTACTTCCATTAATGGGATTTTTCAAATGGGAGAAAGGGCAGCTTGGTAGCCAAGCAGTTTCAGCCCGTTATAAATGTTCACAATTTTTACAAATGATCAAATAACTGTACAGAACATGAACTGAACACCCCGGGAGTCAGTAGGGCTCATTGTGGTTTCAGGGTTCTGAGCTTGGCAGGGGTAAAGAAGATTGGAAGGTCCACTTTAAACTAATTTGGCAAGTTTGGGGAATAGAAAAGGTGCTGCCTGGAAGTGCCTTTGGTAAAAACATGGAAAACTCAGAAGCCACAACCTCATGGAGGATACAGTTATTCTTCCAAGCTCTATTCTTCATACTGTTTTCTTTCTTAAAAAGAGGTTGTACCTCTTTCAAATGCAAGACTGATGACCTTGCTTGGTTTCTTATTTATTAATATATATAAATTCTAGCTTGTTTCCTGTCTCTTTCTTGCAATTTTTCCAGACACAACATTGGAAATGAGACAGTTTATGCCTCCAGTGAATCTAAAGGAAAGCTGAGAGAGGAAAAAGGGTATTTATAAACACAGACAACCGTGCCAATATGAGGAGGGTATATCCAGAAGCCAAACTGGCAGGGCAGAAATGGCTTCATTCTGGACTTGTTTAGCGTGTTGTTAATTATGGATTGGCATTGATTTGCCTAGCCCAGCATGTCATGAGATAAAAAATCTTTCTTTCCCCTTTGGACTGACTGTATCACAAGGGGAGAAGAAAAGAAAGAGGATGGATTCAGTGACGTACCAGATATTTTAGTACATCACTAAGATGATTCATAAGGAATAAGATGGGAAATTATTTTACTTCTTTATAGGAGGTTATTGATTTAATACCAACAGTCCTATGAGAAGAAACAGGAGATTGATAGCAGCTGGCAGTTCATTGTGTGTCTGCAGGGGGCAAACAAAATCTGTAAGATGGCAGGCAAGTGTTACAATCAAAGCAACTCACCCCCTTACAAAAGGGGTGGGGCTTCAATCATGATGCTATGCCCACCACCTTGCAGATTTTGATTCTACCCTCACAGATGCTCCTGCTTTGGATGCTCCCATTTCTACACATACAAACACACATACTTGGAAAGGATCCAGATTACTTGCTAGGATTAATACTGTTTAATTACAATGTGCTTCTTATTTTACTTACAAGACGTCTCAGAAAATTTTATATCCTGAAAGGTAATATAAAATTTTAATAAACAAAAGAAAAATGAAAGAAGAAAAAAAGAAGGGAAGCTTCTTTTTCTTTTCCCAACAAAGCAAAACATTGCAAGCCAGTTGGCAAATCTTTCATTTAAAGCTGGATGAAATCTGATTCCCCAGACAGGAGATAGTACTCCAGGATTGCCAACAATTTTATTTGTCACTGTCCCTGCATTGTTAACAGTAGCTTGATTAGCATGTGTTGATGAATAATAACATCCATCTGTGTCTTGAAGAACTTTACCTGTACTTTATCTGGAATGGACATAGTGGAGTAGTAATCTTAGCCACAACCCTTTATAAACAATCCCATTAATGAAAAAACAAAATGTGTACAAAAATGGGCTGGCTGGAGGGATGGCTGCTAGAGGGGGAAAATTTTAAGGATATTTCTAGTGGAGGGCTCCATGTGCTATCAAGCAAGTGGCATTTGGCATCTTCCATGTTCCCTTTTTTTAAAACAAAGAAAAGCTGAAAGCAATGGTAGAAAACTACAAGTGGAAGATGAAATGTCTGTTGCATAATATTTTACAAACAATGCAGAGAGATTACACAATAAAAGCTTTTCCTGAATGGACCCTAACAATAATGAAAAAGCAGGTCTAATATATTAATTAATGTTGAGGTATTTTACTTCTGCTTTAATTTAAGATGGATGGAAAATATTTGCTGATCCATTTTGGGCAACAAAATATTTTGAGTCTGAGGACACTGAATATTATGAAAGCTATCTCAGAATCACAGATATTCTTAAGTGGAAGCTTGTATACATGATTTCAGACTATTCTGCAGAATTTAGGCACTTTGGTTTTCCCCTTCTTGCAGGTACATAGGAGTGGGGGGGGGGGGGGTTTAAATACAGACAGTCTCAGGTGTTCACAGAGAAAAGAAAAATCATGTCTAGAAATGAAAGCTTAATTGTTTTCCATCAAATGATAGCCCGCTCTGTCTGTCTGTCTATTTATTTATTGTTTATACTGCTTCAGTCCAACCAGACAGTTATTGAGCAAGCAGGAATGATAATTCAGAATATATATGCTGTCAGATCTCATACCTTTCATGGTCTCTTATAGTGCTGCTCTCTCAGAACAGTTTTGGATTTCCTCTTATCACCAATCTTACCACTATTTGTTGATGATGACTGCTTGTTTACAATCATTGCATTCCTGTTTCCTCTTCATAATCCCAGAGTTAGGCTGGAATCTTACAGTTACTAACTGGGCCATGACAGGCAGAAACAAGTTCAGCCCATTTGGACTTGTTCACAGTAGTGCTAATCCTGAACATACCATCACAGATTTTTATATACTACTACTACCACTACCACTACTACTACTACTACAAAATCTGGGACTTTAGAATTCAAACAGACAAGCACCTACCACACAACACCCCAGACTTAACAACTGTTG